GCGGTCGTTGCCCCCCCCGTTTAACGATCGCAGCACATAGTTAGGGGGGAGGGGCTTGACCCCATACACATTCTGGTGCTCGCGCGCATGTTGTGGCGATGGCAGCACATGCTCGCCCCGACGTGCCCCACTCCGCCCAAGCGTTAACGTTACCCGTGGCCTCAAACCCCCCTCCCTCCCCCCACGGGTAACGACCGCTGCCCAAGCTAGATGGCGGGAGATGCATCGACCGTGCGGGCGATTCCGCACGTGCACGGCCCTGAGATCCGGGCGTTGCAGCTCTTTCAATACCATCGGCGGTTTCCCGGTTTCGGGCCCCTGGAACGTCGCAGATGGATCCGAATCCCAAGAAGAATTCAGAAATATTGGGTCTATATAGGGCTCTTGTTGCGACGGTTCGCGGCGCTGCATTTTTTCGCAGCGCCGGATCTCGGGGGAGCGAGAGGTAGGGAGGGGGGGATCTAGGAAGCGAGCGAGCAAGGCGGGAAGAGGGGCGTCGGGCGACGCAATCTTTACATATCTACTGCTCCCTGGCCAGGCCCATCCCAGACCCAGGAGCTGTGTATAGGCCCCCCTGGCCAAGCCAGGAGGGCGTGGCGTATATACCGCAGCTGGATTCAGGATGTCAAGGGAGGACAAATCACCCGGACCAGATATGTGGCGTTTTCTAAACGGCCTGGGCGTTTACTACGCAGCCTTGCCCTCTTAGATCCCTTCTTCGGGTGCGCGCGTGGTAGGGCCCCTGGGGCGAGCGGCGGCGACCCCCCATGCAGTTCGAGCCGGACCAACCCGACGTGAAAAAATCGGCGTGTCACCCCGAGCCGGATCACCGAATTTCAGGGGGAACTGTTTTGGATCTATTTTGGAACTCTTTGAACTGTTTTGGAACTGTTTTGGAACTGTTTTGGAACTGTTTTGGAACTCCCAGAAAACCTTGTCACCTCGAGCCGGATCCGCCGAGCACGAAACTAACTGCACCCCCGTTGGATTCATAGCGCGGGGGGGAGGGGGAGAAGGTGGGGGGAGGAGGATGAGGTGGAGGGGGAGAAGGAGGAGGAGGAGGAGGAGGAGGAGGAGAAGGAGGGGGGAGGGGAGGAAGGGGGGGAGTAGGAGGAGAGGGAGGAAGGGAGTATATGAGGGTGGATTTTCTGCTCTCGAGGATGGACCTGGACAGGGAGCAATGGAAATGCACAGATTTCGTCGCCCTAGGGTAAAGGGAGGGGGGCATCGACCATGCCGGCGATAATGGGCCGATCTTCCATTACCAGTACAATAGGTAGGAGGAGGAAGAGGAGGAGGAGGAGGAGGAGGAGGAGCTCCCCATCCTTCTTTCTCCCTCGTCCTGCCTCTGGTAGTGGTGGTGGACAGTCAGCCCATCAGGCGATGCCACATGAGCGACGCCAAAAAACGGGTTCGACTCCGCCGACATTCGCGCGTGCGTTGCTCGCGGAAGGTCTCGCGTGAGCGTCCTCGTCTGCACTGTGACTTTCCGCGCTGGTGGACCGCGTGAGCCACCGCGTGAGGTCGCTGCGCCATCTCGCGTGAGACCCGTTTCTGCTCGTCGCTCGCACTGCTCGCCTGCCCCTCACCACCTACCAAACCACCCCAACCCAACCCAAAGGCCCAAATTTGCCCCACATTTCCAGTGGGGGGGGGGGTCGGGGAACGTTGAGAAAACACATATGAAGCCCGTACCCACCCCAACCCGAAAGTCGGGTCTTCGGGTTGGGTTGGGGTGGTCTGGTAGGTATCGGGGGAGCGTAAGACCCGGGTTTGCCAGGACTCGGGTTCGCCATCGTTGTTTGACGACCGCGCCTCGGATTTTGACGAGGAGGAGTTTCGTGGGATGTCTGCAGCGGGAGGCCTCGTCAAAATGCAGGCTCGGCCTCGTCATTTTTTGACGACCTCGTCGGGGACTTCCGAGTCCCCTGTACCCAGGTCTTACGTCCCCCTGTAGGTAGTCAGTCCCGCCACCCGCGGCGGGGAGCTCGGAGAGCGTCGGGCTCGCACGCGCCTGCGTGGGCTGCAGCGGCTTCGCCGCTCGGCCCCACGTGCGGCCCGCTGCAGGGGTGCCCCCCTGCGCTGCTCGAGCGGGAGGAGGGCGGGAGGCGAGGAGGAGCAGGAGGAGGAGGGAGGAGGAGGAGGAGGAGGAGGAGGAGGAGGAGGGAGGAGGAGGAGGAGGAGGAGGAGGAGGAGGAGGAGGAGGAGGAGGAGGAGGAGGAGGAGGAGGAGGAGAGGAAGGAGGAGGAGGAGGAGGAGGAGGAGGAGAGGAGGAGGAGGAGGAGGAGGAGGAGGAGGGAGGGAGGAGGAGGGAGGGAGGAGGAGGAGGAGGAGTGAACAGGGAGCAGGCCACATGTCAGCCACACACACAGGACAGCCTTTGTTCATCGATCTTTGTTGCTTTTTGTGTGCTCCTGTTCAGAAGTAAAAGCAAGCATCAAACGCAGGAGGAGGAGGAGGAGGAGGACCAAGAGGCGAAGCCGGATGGGGAGGAGGAGGAGGAGGCGGAGGAGGAGGACGACGAGGAGGACTAGGAGGAGGAGCGGGAGGAGCTGGTCGAGGACGAGGAGGGCGAGCGATGAGGAAGAGGAGGAGCACGAGGAGGAAGAGGAGGAGGGCGGAGGGAGCGAGGAGGGAGTGCGGGAGAAGGCAGACGAGGCGCAGGGAGAGGAGAGCTTTTGCCTGTTTTCCTCTGCCACTTACCTCCCTCCTTCCGCCTGCCAGTGCGGGCGTGCTCCAGGGCTACCCTTCGAGTAGGATGCCGACCACAGAATTGACTCACCCCCAACTTCATTTGCACTTCGAATCTACAAGGGACGCGTAGAACTCTCGCAGATGTACGAGCATCCGGCATATGTTCTGATAGACTCGATGCAAGAACCAGTTCTGGGGTACATCAATTCTGTCGACCAGGAGCCCTCCGCGAGATCCCTCTCCGCGGCCGAGCTGGCCGGCCCCCCGGCGCCCCCCGCCAACCTCGGCTTCGGCAGAAACGAGGCGACCCTTGCGCGGTGGAGGACCGAAGAGAAAACCAGCCATGCTTCGGGCGAGTAGAACTATGCACATGCACCGATCCTGGCAAGGCCCATCCTTGACCCAGGATCGGTGCATATGCCTTCCTAACCAAGGTAGGAGGGCGTATGCACCGATGCCTGGCTCAGGATGGGCCTGGCCAGAATCGGTGTATGTGCATAGTTCTGTTTCCTCTAATGCTCCGAATTCTATGATGAAGGGGGAGGGCACGAGATGATCGAAGCCGCGGCTGGGGCCCGGGTCGAGGCCGAGGCCTGGGCGGGGGCCCAGGCTGGAGCCGCGGCCGCAGACGCGGGCGCGTTCTTGGGGCCAGGGCCGAGGCTGGAGCCGCAGGCCGGGACCGCTGGGACGGGGTCCATGGCCAGGGCTCTGGACGCCCGACATGGGTACCGAAAGAATGGGTACAATGCCCAACAGCAGTTCCTGTTCATTCTGAACAGGACTCGCTGTCCGCGCCGCCGCGGCCTATGTCCATTCGAGACAGAAGGCCGCCTGCCCAACAGCGGCCATGGCCAGGGCCAGAGCCAGGGGTGCCTGTTTTTCTTTGGATTCGGGCAAGTTTACTTGCACGGACGGGGGGGGGGCTGAGTCTGAAGCAGGCCGAAAACGTTTCGACGTGCGGAAATCACGCAAGTCGAAAGGCACTTGCACGCTCGTGTTCGATTGAAGAGGGGCGAGGGGGGAGAGAGGGGGGGGAGGCGAACGCCATGCAAGTAAGCTTGCCTGGATCTAAAGAAAAACAGGCTCGGGGGCTTGCTTTTGGGAGGTGTCTGATTCAAGCTGTGTGGTCTGGGCAGCAGGCAGCCGTTTCACGGCTGGTCTTTGAAGGAAACAAGTACGGCATAAACATGAACTGTTCGCGCTCCGTGCGGATTTCCCCCCTCGGCGGCGCCTCTGGCGCCGCCCGGGTCCAACGCAGATCCGAGAAATCCGCGCGGAGCGCCAAAAGTTTAAGTTTATGCCGTTGTTTCTTCCTCTAGGTCTTGGGTGGGGTCTGTAATAACTTGTCTGGGAGGCTTGTGGCCCCTCTCCTTTATCATACCACTCGGAGCACGCAGCAGCATACAAACTTTCGGAGAGCCGCGCGGAGCTCCGAAAGATTATGTGTCTCAGGGTTCTTGTGCTCGGCCACGCGCAGAAGGGGAGTAGGGGGAGGGGGGGAAGGCTTCTCAGAAGCACCCCCGCTTCTTAGAAGGCGCGGGCCTTCTCTGTAGATGCGGGGCCGGCGCCTTCTAAGGACGTGCCCCTCTCTCCCCCCACCCCCTTGTGCGCTCCGCCGACGTCTTCGTCTCTGGAGGAGCCAGCTCACCGGCACGGTCTCCTCGGCCACCACGACGCTGCGGCGGCACAAGAGGCTCAGCTGTGCCTGAGCGCGCCATCGGCCGCGCCCCGCGCTTCGCCAGCCCAGCCAGCTGCTGATGATCTGCGCGTGCGACACACGGTCAGGACTGTTGGCCTGGCCTGGAGGAGGAAAGGCACCGATACCGCTACCCTTCACCCGTCTTCCCCCTTTTCGGCCTCCTGGGAGGCCCTCGTCGCCACGGCTGGACTCGCCTCGAAATTCTGCTGCAGCGGACTCAGGCAATCCACAGCATCCGTTGCAGCTTGCTCTGCCCGACCGTCCCTCCTCCGCCCCCCGCCGGGGCACTCGGCGGCGCCGACCTCGAGCGGCAGGGAAGTTCCGCGCGCCGACTCTGCTGAGTCGCGGTTGAGCCTCCTCCTCTCGGCGACTCGTTCGGGTTAGGGGCATGTCATTCGCGGACTTGGAGGCTTTTTGACGGCTACATCGGTCGACCTGCCCCTCTTCCGGAAATTCCAGTCAGCACGCACCCCGGGAGGGGCCTGGGGAGTCGCGGTAGCGGTACCTGGTGGTTTCCCCGTTCGCTTGTCGCGCCGCCAGTTCGGTGAACCTCCCCACACCCCCTCCTCCTCCTCCTCCTCCTCCTCCTCCTCCTCCTCCTCCTCTTCCTCCTCCTCCTGCTCCTCATCCTCCTCCCCCCTCTGACAGCGTCGAGCTCTTGAGCCTGACCTTGGCGCACCCCGGAGCTTCACGTTCTAAGGCGCTCCGGCCGCGTCGAGGCCCTCGCCTGCATGTTGTCCGCTCTTCCCCACCTAGCGGATGGCCTCCTCCTCCTCCTCCTCCTCCTCCTTCTCCTCCTCCTCCTTCCCTCCTCCTCCTCCTCCTCCTCCTCCTCCTCCTCCTCCTCCTCCTCCTCCTTCCTCCTCTCCTGTCTTCCCCTCTCAGTGGTGCCTGACTCGCTGCCCTCGCGCCCCGCCGAGAGATGGCCCATCGCCCGCCGGACCCAGCCCGCGGCGGACCCCCCAAAATGTCGCGCCGCCAGTGCTGGCCCACCACGCGTCGGCGCGACACGCTGTTTATCACCACCCACCAAACCCAGGAAGAAGCTCCAAACACAGTTCAAAATAGTCTGGGGACGATGTTCCGACGATCGTGGATTGTTTCCCACCTATCTTGTGGTGTTGGGTCCTCGTTCCCGCCTCCTTCCTCCCGTTTCCTCCCTCCCATGATTATCGTCATCATCATCATCCTCATCGTCGAGGCCTGCTATGGCTTCTGGCAGGACGGCGACTTCACAAAGAACGACGAGCCCCTGAGCAACGTTCTGCCAGATGAACATGAAAGCGCAGGCCCTCCGGCATTACTGCATGCACTCCTACCTGGCGTCCAACAAGATTCTCATTTGTTGGCTTCCAGAGGGGGCGGGCAAGCTCATGGGCATGGCCGTCCGCGTGCCCACCATCGATGTGTCGGTCGTGGACCTCACCTGCGAGCTGGAGAAGGCGACGACCTACGAGGAGATCTGCGCCGAGATCAAGAGACGCTCCGAGGGCGACATGAAGGGATACTTGGGCTACTGCGACGAGGCTCTCGTGTCCACCGACTTCGAGACGTGCCCCATCTCCAGCACCTTCGATTCCAAGGCGGGCATCATGCTGGACCCCACGTTCGTGAAGCTCGTGGCCTGGTACGACAACGAGTGGGGCTTTTCGTGCCGTGTCGTTGACCCGATCAACCACACGGCCAAGGTCGACGGGGCGTAGGATGTAGGATGGTGCCCGCCGCATCCTCTCTGTGCAGTCGCTGTCCCATCTTTTTTTCTTCTATACGGGCCTACGCAGATCGCAGGGCGCATCCACCGCATGCCTGCCCCCTCTTGAGGAGATCGTGGGCGCCGCCAACGAGGCATCGAAGATGTCACGGCCATACTTGCATGTTTTTTACGTTAAGTGACTCGGGCACCCGCTCGCCTGCGTGTAATGGAGCTTTGAATTACTTGCGACTCGGATCGGCCACCGCCAGTCTTTCGTAAGCACCCGCTCGCATGCAAGCTAGATGCACGGTCTCTGGCTGTGCGTCGAAGCACCCCGAGTGCACTCGCCCCACGCGGGTGTATCGGGACATGACTCTGTTATGCTCTCTGCGACGGACCACCAATTGCATACTTGGTCCTGATGTCGAGAAAAAATCCTCATCGTCGTCGTCATCATGATTATTATCATCAGCATCATCCTCATCCTCAGCATCATCATTATCATCATCATCATCATCATCATCATCATCATCATCATCATCATCATCATCATCAATGCGTCTCTCGCGCCCAGCACAGCACTTCGTGGCCCCATAGGGAGCTCCACCGAAAGGTCCCAGTGGCCGATATCGAATGCGGTTCCTGGCCCCAGGGCGGCGTTTCGTGGCCCCGTCGGGAGCTCCACCGAACGTCCCAGTGGGGGAACTCGCATGCGATACCTGCGCCCTGTACAGCGCTTCCTGGCCCCATAGGGAGCTCCACCGAAGGTCCCAGCAGCGGAACTCGCATGCGGTTCCTGCGCCCAGTCCGGCGATCCGTGGCCCCATAGGTAGCTCCACCGAAGGCCCCGCTGGCGGAACTCGCATGCACTTCCTGCGCACAGTGCAGCGTTTCGTGGTCCCGTAGGGAGCTCCACCGAATGTCCCAGTGGCGGAACTCGCTTTCCACCGAAGATCCCAGCGGCGGAACTCGCATGCGTTTCCTGCGCCCAGCGTAGCGCTTCGAGGCCCCATAGGGAGTGGCCCGATAGGGAGCTTCACGGAAGGTCCCAGCGGCGGGACTCGCATGCGGTTCCTGAGCCTAGCACAGCGCTTCCTGGCTCCATAGGGAGCTCCACCGAAGGTCCCAGCGGCGGATCTCGCATGCGGTTCCTGCGCCCAGTGCATCGCTTCGTGGCCCCATAGGGAGCTCCACCGAAGGCCCCAGCGGCGGAACTCGCGTGCGGTTCCTGCGTCCACAACAGCGCTTCGTGGCCCCATAGGGAGCTTCACCGAAGGTCCCAGCGGCGGAACTCGCATGCGGTTCTTGCGCCCAGTGCGGCGCTTCGGGGCCCCATGGGGAGCACACCTTTCGCTTGCTTCGTGACCCCATAGCCTGGGCGCGAGCGGTCCGCAGCCAGACCTTCTCTCGGTCCTGTAGACTCTCGCCATGGGCCGTCGGCTGTCTGACGCGCCAAACCTTCGGCCGACGTCGCCCAGGCGCGACCCTGGATTGCGGTAGCCACGAGGTCGGGAACTGCAAGAAGGGGGACGACGACAGGCGGCTGGGGTTCTGCGCGCCGCCCTCGCGAGCCACGCGCCACGAGGACGGACTTCCTGCTCATGCGGGCGCCGCGGACCGAGTTCTTCCTGGCAGGGCCACCGGGGGGCTTGCGGAAGCAGCTGGAGCAGTTTGCGGCGCGCACGAAGCGGCGCCGGAGGGAGGCGACGGCCCTCGCCGGGGAGCTGGGACTCACCGAGCTTATCCGCGAGACCTGACCAGGGGAGCGGCCCGCCCGAGCCTCGCCTTCTCTCGACGGCGTTTGGCCCCGCGCCGCGGGCGACCCGCGCGCGTCGCTGGGGCCCTCTCGGAACGACCAGCGCGCGTCGCTGGGGCTCCACGCAGCGCCCTGCCCAGCGCTTCTCGCATGTCGTCGATCTGCCCATCGGCCAGAGCCTCGCCCTCAATCTGTCAGCGAGCTAGTTCTTTTGGCTCCGCGCAGCGGACGAACCGCGTGCGTTGCCCGGGCCTCTTCGGGGCGACCAGCGCGCGTCGCGGGGACTCCGCGCTGCGCTGCGCCCGCAGCCACGGGCTTCGGAGCGCGCGGGGACGGGGAGAAAAAGAAAACAACATGTTGGATGGTCTAGCTTTCCTCGCAACCCCCTATCAAACATATCGTGGACAGAAGGAACCGCGCCGAAGGCCCCATGGAACCCCACCGAAAGCCCCAGCGGCAGCGCCCGCGTGCCGCCGCCGCTCCACTTTGGCACGCCCCTCGCGCGGTTCGTGCCCCCATAAAGAGATCCACCGAAAACGGCATTCGTAGACGCGGCGCTCACAGCCGCGCGTGGTCGGGCCCTTCGCCTGGTTATTTTTTTTGCGTGGGTCGATTGCGCTGCATTCCTTTTTTTCCTCCAAAATCTGCCTGTAGGAGGACATGCCCGATCTAAACCTAGGGTTTTTTTTACGTACCGCCGAGAGTTCCCGACCGCTTGAGCTGCGGCAGCTCGTTGTGATTGCGGGTCGCTCTGCATTTGGCACATCATATAAGACAACAGCCCCTCTGGCAGGCGCCCCGGCGGAATCGTCGCGCCCCCCGATGGCCCCAGGGGCCACATAATCTCTGTGTGGAGTTCCAACATCAGATGGTGCCCCAATTTGTTTTACGGCAGAGGCTGTTTCGGAAACCCCTTCCGAAAACAGGAGCGAGGGTACCCTAGACTTCTTTGTGTTTCTTGGGCGTTTTAGGTCCGACTGCAATTGTTGTCGCTTCGCGAATCCCCACCAGCCCATCCAGAAACGATGCCCAGAGGAATTGCCTCGATCAGAGAAGTGGGCAGCACACAGAGGAAGCCATTATGAGACATCTTGGGATATCTTGAGCCATCTTGGAGGTCATTTTGGGCTCTCCCAGACGCTCTTGGAGTCATCTTAATCCGTGCCCCCCCCCAAGAGGCCTCCATGTGGCTAAAACCTGTGTAGAATCAATGATTAGGCATTCTCGCCGAGGCCTCTTGGAGCATCTTGGGTGCATCTGGGGGGGCTCTTGGGGCCTCTTGGGGGTCTCTTGGGGGCCTCCGGGGGGCCTCTTGGGGGCCTCTTGGGGCCATTTTGGGGCCATCTTGGGACCTCTTGGGGCTTCCTGGGCGCTTCTTGGGGCCATCTTGGAGGAGATCGATCAAACAAGAGGGGGGGTTTAATTAGCGCCCCCCCTCGGAAGCCCCTAAAATCGCCTCTTGGACCCCTCTTGGAACGCTCTTGGAGTGCTCTTGGGCGCTCTTGGGGCCGTCTTGGGGCTCTTTTGGGGCTCTCTTGGGGCCCTCTTGGGCCATCTTGGAACCATCTCCAGGCCTCGGATGGCCATCGGAAGCGAAAAGGCGAGAAAGCAAAAATCATTGATTTTCCTTAGGTTTTGGGACGATTTTGGCCTCTTCGGGGCCTCCTTGGGGAGCTGTTTGGCCACTTGGAGTTATCTTGGGGCCGTCTTTGGGCTTCTTGGAACCATCTTAGGAGCCATCTCGAGCGATCTTGCGCTATCTTGAGCCATCTTGGAGCTCATCTTGGGTTCTCTGAGGCGCTCTTGGAGCCGTCTTGGGCCATCTGGGACGCTCTAACTACCCGCGGCCCCCCCCGTCCAGGTCCAGGGGAGGGGGTAGGGGGAGGGGTAAACCCCTCCCCAAGGGGGAAGAGGGAGGGGTGGAAGAGGATCTGCTCTAGACCACCTACGCCCAGAGGGCTGGTGGGATTCTTCTGGAATTCTTATCCCACGCACCCACTGCAACCCCAGGTTCGTGGCGACCTCTCCGCTCCGACGCAGGGAACATGCGGCGGAGCAGCGCGGGCGTCCGTGGGCGGGAAGGGGGGCGGCGCGTCGCGCTCCGGCCCCGACCGTGGGTGAGCCTCGGCGCGTCGTGGCCTCAATGCAAAAACATCACCCGCTGCGCTCTCGCCGCAGGCTTACTCGGTCGGCCTTCACTTCGAAAGCAGGCGAGCTGAGATAACGGTCCGAGGTTCCAGGTTTTCGGGCGCTCTCGCCGGCTTTCGGCGGTTGTTTACCTTCGGGACGCCATCCAGCAACTGCGCTTCGCCGAGGGCGTTCCAGGGGTGCCCGGACTGTTCCGAAAGGTCGCCAGAGGCCCGAGTTATGGCCCGAAAGTAGCCAGGGGCAACATTCGGGAGGGACCGGCTGAGGAGGGCGATATGAGATAAGGATTTGGGATGGCTTCCTCGTCGCCGCGGCTGAGCACAGCTCGGAAAGATTGTGCGCCTGAGTTCCGGAAAAGGGGCCAGGGACAGATTTGGGGTTGCCGTTGTCTCAACTCGCCTTGCGGCGATCATCTGCCTGACCTCTCGCCCTTTCTTCGCCCTGTGGTGCCGAAATTGTGGTGCAGTATTTGTGAAGCCAGTCATTCCTCCTCGTCCCTCTTTCAGTCCTGTTCTCGATGCTGACGATCATGCTGGACTTCATTCCTCGATTTCCTCTCAAACGTCTCACCGATGGCTCAAAGGCACTGTCCGTCTGTTTCTACCTGCCGCTGCGTGTTTGCGCAGCGCTAACTGCAGGAATGAAATGTGTACTCATTGTCACCATCCGATGTATTGGTTATCTGAAGTCATGCTGAGCTGAGACAAGAGAACAAGCTGTGCCAGTCGCATTGGCAAAACCGTTTTACCACGACAATCCGTATTGGAAATGTTCAACTCGTGGGGGGGCCACGTAGAACTAGTTTGGCCGAGGGATGTTTTAAATGCTTCGCCGCCACGCCGGAGCCTACGATGAATCGATCACGATTTGCATGGACTGAATGCTTGCGTGTGTTTACAAGATACCCCTAGATCGGTGCTCCCGCCCAAACCAGTCTGGCCCTGCCACGCGAAATCCGAAGCTCAATCTTAAGCAACCTAGCGAAGCACAAGCAGAAGCGCAGCAGCTTCACTATACAAGGACCATTTTTTTCTGTTCATCGTCGTGTTCAATGTTTGAGTCACTCCCTCCTGAAACTTCCGCAAACCATTCCTGCACCACAGAATTCAAAGTTTCAGCTCGAGCTGCCAACCGCAGAGGCCAGAGAAGATCTAGAGCCGAAGCCAACAACAACGCCTGTAGAACTGCAACGCAGAAGCGTTTATCATGCTCGTGGTGACTGTCGTTGTGGGATATAATAATGGATGAGGGATGAGAGAGGAGGGAGGAGGGGAAGGGGGAGGGAGGGGGAGGAGGCGGAGCGACCGTTGCGCCACCTGGAACCGCCGAAGGGGGAGCAGGCGGCCCACTGAGGGAGGAGCAGGAGGAGGAGGAGGAGCAGCAGCAGCAGCAGGAAGGGAGGAGGAGGAGCAGTAAGAGGAGGAGGAGGAGTAGGAGGAGGAGGAGGAGGAGCAGGAGGAGCAGTAAGAGGAGGAGGAGGAGGAGGAGGAGGAGGAAGAGGAAGAGGAGGAGGAGAGCATGAGGATGAGGATGAGGATGAAGATAATGATGGTGGTGATGATGATGAGAGGAGGAGGAGGAGGAGGAGAGGAGGAGAGAAGGAGGAGGAGGAGTAGCATGAGGAGGAGGGGGAGGAGCAGGAGAGGAGGAGGAGGAGAAGGAGCATGATGATGATGATGATATGATGATGATGATGATGATGAGGAGGAGGAGGAGAGGAGGAGAGGAGGAGGAGGAGAGGGAGGAGGAGGGAGGAGCATGAGGAGGAGGGGGAGCATGAGGAGGAGGGGAAGGAGGAGGCCGAGGAGTTGGAGGATGAGGAGGCGGAGGAGGAGGGCCAGGAGGAGGGAGGCTGAGTTCCTCCGCACCCCGCCGGGCGGTCCTACGACTCCGCGAGCCGCCATGGCCGCGGTGTTTGCGCTGGCCTTCCGCCCTTGGCCGCGGATCCCCGCCGCCGCTGGCTCAAGCCACGGCCGCGGCTCTGCGTCGCGGTTCCCCCTCCCTTCCGCCCTCGCGCCTTCCCTCGCTCCCTCCCTCGCTCCCCCCTTACTCCCCCCTCCCTAGCTCCCTCCCCGCTGCCACCCCCCCCACCCTCGTTCCCTCCCTCCCTCGCTCCATGCCGTCCATCTCCCACTCGCCACTCGCTCCCTCGTTCCCTCCCCCTCGCGCTCCCTCCCTCGCTCTGGCCCGCCCCCCCTCCTCTCCCTCCACAATTACTCAATATGAATACTACTCTCCCTCTTCCCCTGATGACGTCTTTTGCGTATTCCCCCCCCCCGCGTACTGTTTTTTACATACACACACACGATTCCCCGGAGTTGGGTTTTCGCTTGCGTTTTTTTGTCTAAATGCTGCTCTCGCTGAGGCGCCGGCCTCATTTCTGCTCCCGAATCGTTCCGAATCGTGCTCCCGCTGCAGCGTGGGCCTCATTTTCGGATCGGTGTTTTGCCTCCGTCGTTCAGGATGGCGTTCTCGCCCCAGCGCGGGCCTCTTTCTCGCGCGCCCATCCGCCCGCCACCACGCACCACGCCCCGCCCCGCCGCACGCACACCCACCGCCACTTCCACCCACCAACGCACGCACGCACGCACGCGCACCACCACCGCGCACCGCCACCACCACCGCACTACCCCACCCACCACCACCACGCTACATCGCGTCACACCACATCACACGCGCGCACACACAGACACACACGCACGCACGCACGCACGCACGCACGCACGCACGCACGCACGCACGCACGCACGCACACACACACACACACACACACACACACACATACACACGCACACACACACGCACACACACAGACACACACACACACACCACCACCACCGCCACCACCACCACCACCACCGCCATCACGCACGTACGCACCTGGCCCACCACCAAACCACCAAGACGCCACACCACGTCACACCACAGCACACGCGCACACACGCACACACACACACACACACATACACATACACACCACCACCACAACAACCACAACCACGCACACACGCACGCACGCACGCGCACCACCACCCACTACGCACACGCGCGCGGAGCCACAGGTCCGCTACGACACGCGTCCGCGGATAGAGAAAATCAGCGCCATGGTAAGGGATGGGAGGGAGGGGTAGGATGTCAGATGTTGACGCGAGCGCACCTAACTTGTCTCCCTCCCCTTGCTCCCTCCCCCTCCCCCCGCCGCTGCTGTTACCGCTGCCGCCGTCGTCACCGCCATCTTCGGGGACGAAGGGGAAGAAGAAGGAGGAGGAGGAGGAACAGGAGGAGCAGCAGGAGGAGGAGGAGGAGGAGGAGGAAGAGGAATAGGAGGAACAGGAGGAGGAGGAGGAGGAGGAGGAGGAGACAGAGGAGGAACCGTGGCAGCTCCAACTTTGGATCCGATGCCATCGGTGCCCAGGACCCCGCTGGAGGAAGACGGGTGTGGCGTGGACTCCGCAGGAGGAGGAGGAGGATGAGGAGGAGGATGAGGACGAGGAGGAAGAGGATGATGATGAGGATGAGGAGGAGGAGGAGGAGGAGGAGGAGGAGGAGGAGGAGGGCATGCGGGCCGCCGGGGTGCCGACCCCCGAGGCGCGCACGGAGCCCACAGGGTGTCCCGTGGCTTCCCCGGGGAGAGCCCGCGGCGGCGGCGCTGGCGCTGCATGCTCGGCGGCGAGCGAGGGGGGCAAGCGAGGAGGAGAAGGCCTGCTCAGAAGGTTCGGAAGCCCCCCGGCCTTCCGAGAAGTGTTCAAGTTGGGCGTCGCGTAATGGGTGGCGAGGGTGGTTCGAAAAGGTACCCAAACGGTACCTAAACGAGCCCCCTGGGGCTCTGGAGGGGCCCGAAAGGGGCACGAAAAGGGACCTTTTCTGACCCCCCCATTTGTGACCCCCCCATTAAGCCATGTCCAACAAGCCTTCCCCGAAGGCACGGGAAACTTCTCAGAGGGCCGGCGGGCTTCTGAGAAGCCCCGCCGCCTTCTGAGAAGGCCTCCTCCTTCTCACTTCCCCCCTTGCTCGCCGCCAGCATACGGCTGGCGAGAGGAGCAGAGCCAGAGCAAGCCCAACGCGCCTCGCTGATGCCACGATACTCCACGGGGGGCATCCCAGCCAGGGTCGCCGATGCATCGGCGATGCGGCGCGATGTGGAGCCCGATCTTCTCCACGCCGATGGCGCCGATGCATCGCCGACGTCGCCGATGCATCGGCGATACATCGGCGATGCGGCACGATCCCCCGACCCCATCCATCTACTTGGACCCCACCTAGTGTGCTTGTGGCCTCGCGCCGCCAGTTCTGGCCCACCACGCTTCCGCACGACACGCGAGCTACGTCCCAGTTTTCAAGCGTCATTTCACTATGCATATGTCATGGTCGTCTTTGTTTCGAGGTCGCTTGTCTGGGGACGCGACTTCAAGATTCAAGATTGGAATCGAGATTCGGCTTGGCAAAGTTTTGCTCACCTTTTCAGCGCACATGCTCGACGCGTCTTCATGTTCACTCCCGCACATCCATGGCATCTCGTCGGACGCACGATGCCATGTACATGACGAGATGAGGATACAGTATTCTCATATACTGTGTTACTTTGTTCGTTCCCCCTTGCTTTCTTTTCTCGGTGTGTGTTGTACATTGATACATGGATACATGTGTACACTCTTGATTCGCATTCGCTTAATCACATTCGTCACTATGATATTATGCATCCCTCTCTCCTTCCTTGTTCTTCTCATCCTTCTCCGTAATTTTTTCCTGTCTCCTTCCCTCCTTTCCCCCCCCCTCCCCGGCACCCCTTGGGCGATGGCCTCGAAGGGCACCGTGGAGCTGAGATTCCCTGACTGGTGCGATGCGGAGTGGCCAGGGCCGCTGGTCCGCATCGGAGGGCGGGGTCCCTGGCGGACGAGGTAGTCGCACTTGACGTGCCGCGGGGGATGGGGTGGCACAGCAGGCACGTCAAATCAGGAACCAGCCTGCCAGCTGGTGCCCCCCCAGAAGCTCCTCATATCCCCCACAGAC